AAAAATACAACTAACCAAAGTAAGTATTTATGTAAATTTGTATTACGTTGAATCTGATTGGTATTAAATCTTCTAAGATTTTCGACTAACAAGTATTCCGGCTAATTTCAATCAAACATTTCAAGCTGCTCACAGATGTACTCTATATTTTTTTTTAGTTTGAAATTATTCGATTTTAGTTGTGTTTCTTTTTTTTTTTTTTAATTTTTCCCCTAAATTTAATTTTTTTTTTTTTTAATTTTGTGGCTTTATGCAAATTTTTGTATATAAATTTGTTTGTGAAGTTTGATATCTTTCACTTATCATTTATTTGATAATTGGAAAATATGAAAATCTATCCAAATGGTGATGCCTGGTTTTACGTGGACAAGCCAGGCTGCTGGGGAAAGTACGAGAGATATTCTCCACAGCACAGCTGGAAGCCTCTGATCCGGCCAATCAGGCCGAAGATCATGTACCATTGGCATGACTACGACGGCGTTAAGAAGGCGGAGATAAAGACCAAAGATCTCTATTTTGACAACTGGCAGACGTCTCGCATTCGGGCACAGGCCTGCCTGGGTATGCTCTATGCCACCGGCTACCGGTTCGTTAAGCTCAGCATGGCACCACCGGCTGGCTTCAAGTGTGCACCACTTCCGGTCAATCTGGTCGGTGCCTATCACGTCAATGGTAAGTGTTATGCGCTTTCAAACAAATTTATGCATTACAACTAACAATAAAAAAACCTATAGAGCATCTAAAGCAAATGAGAAGGGAAGCAAATGCGGCCAAGAAAGCCGCTAAATTGGCAGCATTGGCCATTAAGAAGGCTGAGCTCGCTTTTAAGAACAGAGCCAAGAAGCGACCAAGACCTGGATAAACACGAAATAAAGTGAATGCAACCCAAGGAAAATACATGTTCACTATTCTCAGTGCTCTCTCATTTCTTTAGTGTCAATAAATAATCACCTTTGGATACAAATGCCTAATGCTGATTTTATTCTCTCATGCCTTCTCATTGGCTGAGTAAATTTCATTATGCCAATTACTTGCATCAAAGCTGCTGGGATAATTGAAATAAATTAAACTTGCATTAGGCGATAAGTGTGTACGTGTGTGTGTGTGGGTGTGTGTGTGTGTAGTTCCATTTCAATCAACTTAATTGACAGTTTTTGGGCAACACCTTTAGTCTCAGCCTTGTGCATGCTTTAGTCTAATGATCCTAACTTTGCCAGCAAGTGTCTGATTCGTTTTTAGTAAAGTTGGGCGATAATTTAAACTACGTTTAACTATTTAAATTATGAATCATTTAAATAGTAACAACAATAAAAAAATATATATTAATAATTAATAACTAATTAAAGATTTAGGCATTGCTTGCAAAGAATAGTTGATAATTTTAGTCTTAGGGATCTGTTGGCGTCAATATTCGTCTGCTCTCACATTGAGCAATTCCCTTCGGTTATTTTTGTTTTCATTATCGGCTGAGCGCTTTGAGTAGAACTATTCGTGTCACGCTCTTCAGACGAATATCATTTAGGTAGAGAGACGACTGAGGTTCGTACAATGAGAGCGAATGAGTCAAAAAGCCAATGTAAATCATCTTCACATTCACATACACATTCACACATTCAATTCCCATGCGCTATCGATGCATACACAAGTTCTAGTACCAATACCTACATACAAGACTTTTTGCTATATTAGTGCTTAAGGTAATTCCTATGTCACGCTCAATTAATTCCCATATATGTTATTTTCACTAAATAAATATCACAGTTCATAGAGTTTGGACAAATACCTTGAATACCTCATAGCGTTTGCTTAATAAGAATAATAATTGCATTTCAGCACACATTTCCAACTCTTTACATACATTAAGTAAGCATTGATTTTTCCTTTTGTTTATTTTGGTATTGTAAAATGTTTGCTACAAAATTGTTATTTTATTTTCCTTGGTGCTTCTATACAAATTTCTCTTTATAAATTTTTACGTATTTCCCTTCCATTTTCTCTCCTTTCTTTAAATTTGTTCTTTGATTTTTGGAAAATATGAGAATCTATCCAAATGCTGATATTTGGTTTTTCGTCGACAAGCCCGGCTGCTGGGGCAAGTACGAGAAGTATGCCCCGCACCACAGCTGGAAATTGCCGGTGCGGCCATTCACGCCGAAGGTCATGTACCATTGGCGTGATCTCGATGGTGTCAAGAAGCCGGAGATAAAGCGAAAGGATCTATACTTTGATAACTGGCCGAAGACTCGAATTCGTGCACAGGCCTGCCTGGGCATGCTCTATGCCACTGGCTATCGGTTCATTAGGATCTGCAAGGCACCACCGGCTGGCTTCAAGTGTGCACCACTTCCGGTCAATCTGGTTGGCGCTTATCAAGTCAACGGTAAGTGGTTAACGCTATCAATTATGTCTTCTATTATATACTAATCCTAAACACTACAGCACATTTGAAACAACTAAGTAAAGAAGCGAAGGCCGCAAAGAAAGCCGCTAAAAAGGCAGCAAAGGAAGCTAAGAAAGCAGACGAGGCATTTAAAAATAGAGGCAAAAAACGAGGAAGATCATAAACAAGAATTAAATTGTATGCAACCTGAAGAAAATTCCAGCAAATTATCTCTCAGTTCACTTGCAACAATAGACATTCTGATGCAGCTTTGGATAAAAATTGTCAATGTCTTTTGGTTAAGTAAGAATTGAGAAATTAATATTTTTATTTACTTACTTTTTTTTAATTATTTAAAGTTATTTTTTCTAGATTTGACATCACTGACTGAGTATGATTTAATTGTAGCCAGAATGGTGTTGTTGAAGAGTATATGGCCGGTAAAAGAAGTACACAGTATATATAACAGGCAATAGAAGAATATCAACAGTCGAGTTGATTTCGTACTGCAAAAGTTTGTATTTATTTTATTTTATTTTTAATATTACCTAACACAAATACCTTACTTCACCCCTTCTTGCAGCTCATTTCCAGCAGATAATCTGAAAGCAATCTATTTATTATGGCAAGAGAAAAGTCAGAGAAAAAAAAAATGTGATTAAATTTTGTGTTATATTGAGGCATAAAAGATGATAAGAGTTGTGTAAGGAAGTATCCGTATTGGTCGAAATAGCCTGAAATGGTCTAGCAGTCAGAGAAAAATTAAATTGATAATTTAGATGCAGTCGATATTATCGATATTTAAATTATGTAGAAAGCCTATGAACGGATCGATCTTGCACCTAATAACTGCTAGCGAAATGAACGTTTTTAGCCTAAGTCCCTATATAGTTCAAGTTTGTTCAAATAATCTATTAAAATGTATCAAATAAAAAACAGTTGTTTATATAAATATCAAGCACTGATTAAATTTGAGACAACCAGCAATAAAAATTGAATTAAATAAAAAAAAAAAAATTACATCAAACTCAGTATTATCCATACATATTAAATTTTAATAAATAAAAAATATAAAATACAAAATCAAATAAAATACAACCATGCACACAGATTAAATTTAAAATAAAAAATTATAAGTAAATATTGAATACAAGTTTAATTATTAACACACAAAAGTGCGGAAAAAATTTAATAAAATTATCTTAAGCTATTTAAGTTAATTTTTACCTTTAGTCATCTGTTAGCTTACAAAAAATATATGTGAATTAAATTAAAAAAAAAAAATCATTTTAAAAACAAAGTAACAAATATTAAAAAAAAAGGTAAATCATGATTTAAATAGCATTAATTTACGTATAATTATTGCCATACAAAAGTCATATTTGGTGCAATTCATTAGGCAAGAACCGAGAGAAGAAAGAATGAATACTATGGCATGTATTTATATATCCATACATATGAATGAATTAATACTACGTGTGAATGAATGAATACTTTGGTATGTGTGCATGTATATGTATGTACGTACGCTACATTTATCAATGTAATTTTATCGGCCGCATAATTAGCGTAGCCAAGCGTTCTGATTAACTTGCATTCAACGATTTTCAATTGAATTTTGCAGTTCGTTGATTCGAACCAAAAAAACAAAAAAGGAAGATATGTACACACATATATACATACATATATATATACGCTTAAAATAAAGTGAAACACACGAGACTGTGATGCAAATGCAATCATCCTAGCACCCAATGTGGGTGTGGTCTGCACTGTGGGATAGGTTAATAAAAATACAAAGCAGTACAAGAAAAAAAAATAAGCAAAAAAAAGAAAACGAAACGCAAAATATGCAGACAGGCGAATGATGAATGTGAATGTGAAATGTGCCATTAATTAATTCGATTAAATGCAGCAATGCAGGCAATCAGCCAAAACGGCAGCGTGAAGCAATAAAGCACAACAGGAGTACACGGGACACACACTCACACACACACACACACACACATACACAGAGTCAGTTAAGAGTCAGTCAATCAACGCAACAGCCACAAATGACTGGAGAAGCTGTTGCATCATCAATGGACTGCGCACCGAAGGGCTTGGCAGGGAGGGCACTCATTAAGCATTAAGACTGTAGCTCGGAACGATGTTCGTTACAGTTATTAATGGCGCGCATAAGCCTTAATACTACAGCATCTTAATTTTATAAGATGCTGCAGAATTTTTGCGCATTAAACCAAAATTTAAAGGATAAATGTATTTATTTATTTATCTATTTTTTGAGCAAGCGATTATTATCTTTAATTTATTTTAAATAAAAAAAAAAA